GGCCATCATCGATTGCCCTTACTCTGGAACTCTGGCACGAGTTTTTTGTATCCTGCGTTCATTGCTTCCTTTCGCTGGGCAGGCTATTGACTTGCTCATTATGGCCCAGGCCTGATGCTGACTGCTCTTCCTCCAGCTCCTGACTGCCTGTCCTGCGTCTCGCTGCCTCTCTGTTCGGTTCGCCTCGCTTCGGTTCGCTTCACATAGCTTCGTTTCATTTTCAATTTGCTGTAAAGCATAGCACTATCCACTCCGCATACGTATCGTGGCAATCAGAATCAGAGACCATAAATTGTTAAAATATCTTAACGGATATTCAATTTCCCGTGGCTCGGCGTAGTGGCCCAAAATGCATTAAAATCATAACAAAAGCTAAGCCGATCCCACTAAAGATGCCAGAGAACTGCTCAGCTCGAGCATTCTATTATTAAAAATTCAAAGTCGTTATAGAATGGCAAACTTTTTCAGACGATGGCCCTCCGCACATAATAATAATACAGTAAAGGCCAAAAAAAGAAGAAATAATAGAGCGAGAAAAGTCAAGGCAGGGACAGCAAGGAGACAGCTTCTGCACAACTATCTCCTCGTACTATGAGCCATAGCTATGAAGGACTGAAGAAGAGCTGGCAGCAGAGCTCGGGAACTCATGGGGAAACTAAGAAACTGCAAAACTGAGAAGTTGAGCGACTGCGAGAGAGAGAGAGAGACTCAACTATGCCCAAGTTGGCTGTCCAACTGTTTATTTTCTGTAGAGTTCGCCTTCCACTGGCTTCAGACCTATTACGCTTGGTGGCGCAACCCATTATCTGCATGGCTAGCGGGTGGATGGGTGGATGGATGGGCTCGGGGGCACCCGTAGGAGGCAAGTTGTCAACCAACTTTGCAACAATAATCGCCAACGCCAGAGAGGCAGCAACAGTGGCAGAAGGAGCAGCTGAAGGAGCATCACAGCAATGACAGAACTGAAAAAGCAAGTCCATAGATAAAAACAATAGCTCTACCAATCTACATTCACGACCAGAGAATACCCTGGTATAACCTGTATACCCTGTACCCTATTCTCGTTCAGTAAATTATAATTTATATGGAAATTGTCACATCTGCTAAACGCACACGCACACCAAGTGCAGTGGCTATTGAGATTAGATCTGAGCCCACGAAAATAATATACACCTGTTGTACCCTATGTGTAAAGTGGGCATGGCCAGGAAACAATAGGACTTTAGGCTGAAATTCATTCTGGCCTAGACTGCGACTTTTAGCATCGTTGCACCAAAATAAAAAATAAAACAAAAAAACAAAAGCAGAAAGGTCCTCCTGAAAGGAGCAAAAGGCTGAGCATATTGGCTGAGCCGAAGCCAAGGATCTCTTCAGAATTTCAAGTGGGCCTGCACAAAGGCGTGTGATTACTTTCCTTTGTGTTTGGCCAGAGAGAAAGCCAAGTGGTGGCAAAGGAGGGGATGTGCAGACGGGCAGGCTGAGTGCATATGACATAGTTGGGATACCAGGAAAAGAGAGCGCAGGAACCAAGTTCCGGGATGAGATTACTTATGAAACTTAATCGTATTTGAAGATTATTATCAACCGACAACTTTTAGGTTTAATGAACTCTTCGATTGGCACTTCAAATGTCAGCCTTTGTCTTTGTGTTTGCCCTTTCCCCACCACCTCCACGACACATATGTAAGTTTCATGCTAATTAAAATTAGCATATTTCCCCTACGTATTTTCCCTAACTGTGCACAGCCAGATCAGGGTCTGGTGTGGTTGGGTTGTGCTCCACAGTCACATTATCTGGCTCCAGCCACACGAAGACGGGGCAAAACTACGCGCCGAAAGCTGATTAAAAGAGAAGGCTAACAAGCGTTCCACTGCCACAATCCCCATATGTCGCCTGGTTCCATTTGTTCGGGTTAGCTGCTGTGCCATTCTGGGCACTGCCTTAAAGCCGTAAAAAATTATTAGACCTTTTTTGTTGCTGAACTGGAGAGCTCAAAAGGCATTATGCCTTTTAATTAAATCGTTGAGACGTGTGTCAGACATTAAATAAAATGGAATAAGCTATGTATGTATTTAAATATATATTTAAATTGAACATATCTGCCCTGAAGGGGAAGGTTTGATTACATGATTTTATATTAAACATGATAATTATGTGCCAGCCTTTGCAGCTGACGCTGCAATTGATCTTACGACGCGCTGCGCATTTATTATGAAAAATGGAAGGGACGTGTGAGACGCTTCCTACGCGTCACATCTTTTATACCCGGCACTCGGTACTACATCTGCTTCTAAGCAATGTTTTGTCAAATTTTTAATTTTTTTTCATCTGTCATCTACATCTACAACACTTCTCACACCAACACGCTCCTTTAGCTCTCTCCCCTTCCCTAGACCCACACACTGCAGACTCGCGGCAGAGGCAGAGGCAGCACCCGCACACAAAAAAATCAAATACATGCTGCGGGACGGGGTGGGTTAAAAGTCGGCAGAAGCAGAGGGACGGCAGAGGCAGAGGCCGAGTAAAGCAGAGTTTGAATGAGAGAATGTAAAAAAAACAACAAAAGCTGCGGGACAGGGTGGGTTTAGCCACTGCAAATTAATTTCTTCATTTTGGCCATAATAATGATCCAATCGGATCCCAATTCGGCAATCTGATAGATATAGTTAATCCCTACAGAATGGCAGAATTTTAAGTTTTCTTGACGATCTGATAGATATGGCCATTTCCTACGGAATGGCGTTTTTAGTTTTCTTTTATCTTCAAAATTGTAGATTTGGGAGTCTTTCGCGGTTTTGAGGGGGCGGATGGGGGCGTGGGCCATTTTTGAAATACACTTGTAACAGTGTGAGCATACAGAAGTCTGGATGCCAAGTTTGGTGGCTCTAGCTTTTATGGTCTCTGAGATCCAGGCGCTCAACAAGACGGACGGACGGACGGACAGACAGACATGGCTCAATCGACTCGGCTATTTATGCTGGTCAAGAATATATATACTTTATGGGGTCGGAAACGTTTCCTTCTGTGTGTTACATACTTTGTGCACAAATACAATATACCCTCTATTTACTCTTCGAGTCCAGGGTATAAAAAACAATTAAATATTATACAAGTTACAATAAAAGCGCAAACCTTTTCCATTAAGAATCAGCCAGGGTTTACATCATTTCGGAGCTTCCATTCCGCTTGGCTTGTTTTTGGAGGATGCATTGTCCTTGACCAAGTCAAGGGGAGTCCGAGTCCGAATCAGAGTCCAAGTACTGCCTCGAGCCCTTTCTTAATTGCCGGAAATGCAAATGGTAGTGGTGGGGCAGCCATTTCGACCATAAATGATTTCCATTTTAAATGCGTGGGAAACGCTTTTCCTTTCTCCATTTATTTACTTTTGGAGGTGAGCGGTCTTCTTTTTTGGTCCCACTTTGTACGCAATTTCCTTTCCATTCTCTTTGCCACTTTTCACCTCCTTAAAGAGGGTATTATGATTTCGAGCAGATGTTTGTAACGATTTAAATTTTGAATTTCAGATTATTACCTGGCTGTTTCTGCATTATAGGTATTATAAAAATTAGCTGCCATGGCATCAATCGGATGAGAAATTGCTGAAGCAACTATAAGATAGAGAGGATGGAGAGAATGTCTCTGGAAATGATCCAATAAATTAAAGAGATAATGGCTCTGCAAGTGTATCTAGAGCTTCGGTACTTAGGACAGCTTTAGATTATTTTTCTGTGGGTTCGTGGTGGAGAGTTCTCACTCCAAATTGGATTTTATTTGCAAGACGCTCTTAGGTTAAATGGACCAGAGACTGTCTTAAAACCCGCCGACCCCAAGTGAGATCTCGAAATGAATTTAAAAGCCACTTCTCGGGGCACCACTCACCCAAGGAGCAGACCCAGAGACTCATTCGTTTGTTGTCTGTCTATAAATAAATGTCGCAAATCTAACATTTCAATTCAAATGCCCAACGTACACTGCGTATCCTGTCAATTTGTGAGCTCTCTGGCACATTTGCATAACAAAATTGCCATGCACTTTTCTTCCGGCTACGATTTTTTCGAATATATACGCTTTGAACTTTACCGGATTCCGGAGTCGAAAGCCTAGATGGAGTCGCCATCACAGTCACAGTTATCCATTTGCAGATTTTGCGAGTTTTGACTGCAGAGTGTCAACAAAATAAATGCATAAATAAGATCAGCGTGTCAGGCCATGGCCCCAGGCTCCATGTTCCCTCAAAGCGGATTCAATATAACGAGAAGATGAAAAATGTCAGAGCTTTGCATTATTAAAGTTCAGCTTGGCTGGTGAAAGTTGGCTGGCAACTTTTCCCGTGCTGATAAATGGCCCAAAGCTGTACTAAAGAAAACTATTCCATCTTACTCCTTGCGTGAACATCCTTCAATTGAAATATATCTTTCACTTTACGTATATACATACATAATGGGGATGTGTATGTGTGCGAGTGCATGACTAGGCGAAGCTCTCCAGCGTAGTATAAGAATAGTGATTGAAAGTCGATGGTCGGGGGAAATGGAATGCCATGCCTCAGAGTCGATTACTTAGACTCTGCTCGGGTTGAGTTCCTTCTGCCAGTTTAATTAATTACATGCTCACGAAGTCTCTCCATCCGCTTGCTCCCCGCTCTACTCTTAAATTAAAACTCCCAAAATATTTATTCTGTTCTTTTTTTGTGTGTTTTTTTTCTGCGAGTTTTTTTTGTTCACATCAATTCATTTATTTGTAAAATAGGTCCGTGCCTTGAGTGTGTTTTTGTTTCGAATTTAAGTTTCCTAATGTACACGACATAAAGTTAAGGTATACAATTATTGTATTCATACATACATATATGTATATGTATACATAATATAGTTCATAACTTATAATCTAAATGCATGTTTTTAGCTCGTATGTTTCGCCCTTCCATCCATCCTTCCTTCCTTCCGTTCACTTCATTTGTTCTGTTTTTGGTATATGCAAAACTGCAGAAAATAGTGTTTATTTTTTACGTTTTCGTTCTTTTGTTTTTTGTTTTGTTTTGTGTGTATAAATTTGCATACTTTTGTAGGTGTTTTCGGTAACTATTTCTGACTTGATCTCTTTGGCATGCGACTCCGTTGGTTGGTTGGTTTGCTTAGGGGCGGGAGCTTGGTTTGGTTGTTCGATTGGGGGGGATTACAACTCTGAAGCAGACACTTAGTAAGCATTAATGGGGGGACCCAACATTATACATATGTTACAACAATTACAATTACAATTACAATTACAATTACCAACGTTATATCTAGATATCTTTACTGTTTATGACTGATATGGGGGGGCCCTAAGCTAGATCCTTAAACTGACGCTGAAAGTACATGTTTTCCATGTCCATTTCCAGTATATTTCAGTATATTTATTATTTGTCTGAGATGAGCCTTAGCCTAGAATAGGTCGATAGCTGCTGCTCTTAAAGGTAAGAACTAAGTTACGTGGGATGGGGCAGGGGAGGATTATGTCTAGACATTCACTCCACTCGGCTTCTTCTCATATGATATTCCCACTCTCATTCTCTCTCGAGAGCTGTGTGGGACTTAAGCCTCTATGAGATCTGCTTGAAAGACCAAAGAATTGAATATTTATACGATTTGCTTGGGTTTACGGCGACACAACTGATGGATCGACTTTTGACTACGCGCACACACGTCTCTAGGGTAAGCTCCATTTGACAGATTAATGCTACAACTTAGGGCTGTTTAGACTATGTACAAGGACTATTCGTCCACTTTACACTAACATAATTAGGATTAGGATTGGGGATCTTTTAGAGCTCCACTTCCATTTCCGCCAGCACTCCCACAAACGATCAGTGCACTCCCAACTATAGTAGGCCTGGCTCTGGTGGTTCACTGTAGCCGTTCCCTGTGCCCGTTACCCGCTTCACGGGTCTGGGGGTGGGTGTTTACAGCTCACTTACGCCTGTCCGGCGGCAATGAACTGCACCACAGTACTGGGCGTACTGGTGGATGCCGCCAATGCCACCGACACCGCCTCTGGGTTTGTGGTTGAGGTTGCACTTGTCGCAAACGGCGCAGCGCCCGCAGCGCTTGTGGCTGCCGCCTGACACTCGGCGGCAGGTACGCGCTTCACCAGCATCCGACTGGACTTGACCGCTATCCATTCGTTGCGAGCGGCATCGAACCAAGTCAGCCCCAGGTTGTAGCGCCCATTCAGATTGGCGTGCTGGCAATGAGAGAACCACCAGCCCCCCTCATAATTGGCAGCGCAGTGCGTCTGTGAGATGTCGCGGTCGTCGTCGATGGCCGAGAACTGCATACCCTGCTGGTAGTTAAGTGCATCGGATGCATTCCCGCTATACTCCCCGATCTGCAGGCGGAAGCCATCGGCACGCGACGAGATGTAGAATCGGGCATACTCGGCCACCCACACGTTGTCGTAGATGTCCTGCATCTGCACCCTCAGGCGGCTGCAATTGTCCAGCGTGAGGTGATGCAGCTGCTCGTTGCCGATCCAGAATTCGCCGCCGGGCTTGCCGAAGCCATGGGCATAGTCCGCCCAAGTGCGATTGAAGTCGGCACTGCCGTCGAAACGTCGCTGCACCGTGGTCCATCCATCCGCGGTGCAGTGCGACATCAGGGGGTGGTGCTGGCCGGCGGGCGCAATCAGATGCAGGCCATCCGCCTGTGTGTGCACCTCGCTGCAGTCGTGTGGCAGCTTGTTGATGATGGCCTCGTACTGTGCCTCGACATTCTCCAGTTCGCTCACGAGGGTCTCCGCCAGGGCCGAGTCGATGCTGGCCTCCTGTTGCAGCTGCTGGTGTTGCTGCTGCAGCTGGTGGTGCGGACGCTTGTGGGGCTTGTTCAGGTGGGAGAGCTGCAGGAGAGGAAAGAACAGAAAGAACAGAGAAAGAAATATATAGAATGTGTGCAAGGAATTTCGATCAATCTGCATCGAAGAGATCAGTAGGAGGAGCAGGACCTACCTTGTTCTTCAGTTCATCGTTCACCAACGACTGCAGCCTGTCCACGTTCGTCTGCAGGCTCTCCACTGTGCTCACGAGCTTCCGGATGCCATTGCGCTCGTCCTGCAGCACGCTCACGCTGACGGCCATGGCCTGGAGAGAGCGAGCCGCGTTCTTGCCCTCCTCCCGCACCAGGCTCTGCTCCGAGGTGATCTGGGCGTTGGCAAACTCCAGCTTGGAGATCTCATGCCGCAGCTCCGGTATGCTCTTGTCCATCTTCGTCTGCAGCCCCTCCACGTCCTCGAGCAGCTCCAGCATGGACGTGTGCAGCTTGTCCAGCGACGCGATTTGGCTGCTCAGATTGAAGTTGGCATTGGCAATGCGATGCTGCTCCACCTCCAGGCCGCGTACCCGCTCATCAATGTGATGGAATCGTAGCTCATTCACCTGCCGCCGAAGTCCACGATGGGCCTGCTGCAGTGCGTGGATCTGTTGGCTCTGGAAGCGGCAGTGACGGCGTTTGTGGTCGGCCAGCGCGACGTTGGAGCTGGAACTGGAGCCAGAGAGCTGTAAAGAAAGGAGAAAAGGGGTTACATATGGATAATAGGAGGAGCTTGCAAGAACCAAATGCTTTTTAGAGTATCTAAAGAGTACTCCAAAGCTCCACGAGATTCTTTTGTTGTATGTGTCGTGCGCTGGGATTATGTGCTGGGAATTGAATGCTAAATCCATTTATTATAAATGCATTTCATAACCAGGCAAAAGCCGCGGCAGTGTGACATGAGGTTTGTGTAGGTGTGGATAGGAGGTTGCAAGATGGAGACTGAAAAGCTTGCAACAATAATGTCAGCACCAGCCACAGCCACGCCAAAAGCGTGTAAGTCCCCGAAGCTTCAGCTGCTGCTGCTGCTGCTCTCAACCCTCTGCGGGAAAAAAGAAGCTGCATACATTTCCACACACCCACAATATGCCTAGAAATAATTTCGCAGAGTGACAGCCGCGCAAGCAGCTGTAAGCTAAAGGTAATGCCATTTGGGTCACATTCATCTACCGTCTCCGAGCAACTATCTGCGGAGTGCAGTGAATGGATTTGCATGGCCGTGATATCTATGTGTGTACGAGTATCTACGCCCTCTCACTCGTTTCGTTATATTTTCCTTTCATTAGATGGTTACTTCTGCTCCGCTCAATGGGCTGCCATCATTCATAGAAAAGTCTCTCGTAATTGACTAATAAAGGACGACGCTGCTGGGGACAAAACTCGACTGAAAATGTGCTGCTAATGAATGCAATGAATGTGTCAACCCAGAAGGAGGTCCTGCCTGTGGCAAAATTATGATATACTTGTCTTGGAGTATCTGCTTTAAGAAGGGTCGAAATAAAAAGAAAAACGAACATCATTTCGTGTTCCATTTAAGGATTTTCTCTGCTTTCACTTTGATGATTATTTCTCTGCATTGGCAACTTTTTTATGTTATTCAAGGGGGTTATCTCTGGGACACCAATACGTACAGAAAATAAATATAATTTCCCTCGTCTTTACATTTCATACGCAAAAAATGTGAAAGCCAAAAAAGATGAGTTTTTTCTGACTCCATTGAAAGCTTTTATTCAACCAGAGAACAGAGATTTGCACTTTGGAAATCACTAAAATACATATAATTCAAATAAAATACAGAAAGTTCTTTATGCGAAGTCCCTTTGCATCGAAGAATATAACTGGAGATCATTTTACCTTCTCTTTTTATTAAATTATTCCAAACAAAATACGAAAACATATTGGTCCACTGGCTTCATAGTTTTCTTGTTTTAAATAACAATAAATCTGTGCAAAAACATTCAGTAAATATTGGGCCTTCCCTTTAAATTAACAAAAAGTGTTTGACTTTTTCCCGAAAGATATACAAAGTCGGACTTTTAACAATTAATTTATTTTCCGTCATTTGAAGGAATTTCTCTCCTCGAATTCAATTAGTCGCCGGGAAGTAAAAACAAACAGAAAGCCAACTGTAAAAAAAATATGGAAAATATGTACGAATTCATGAATATTTATGCCAAAGTTGCGTTTGTGCCTCATTGAGGTTCGAATAATACGGAGCGGGCCCATTGCTGCCACTCTGGGGCTCCCTTCCTCTCTCTCCCGCGCGCTCTTGCGCTGTTTGCTTTGCCCTCACGCACGTGCCGCAGTGTGGTGCGGCAGTGGTGCTGCACTCGCTGCTGTGAGTTGTGGGTGGCATCGACGTTGTTTTATGCGAAAGGTCACGAACGCGGCTAATACGACACGTTCGCGTTTTATATGAACTCTGGACGAGACGGGGAAGCGCCCATCAAAAAAGGAGAATTTCCTCAATATTTATTTGTCCGTGTCGGGGAGGGAGTTGGCATATAAATTCCGGCCATCAGCGCAATAATTAAATGTGATTTATGCAGCTAAAATATCTCGCAGGACGACAGGTTGTCTGTCCCGAAATGACAATTATTTCTTTACGGGGATGGCTTGTCGATGGTCGCGTTAATTGAAATCGAAATTAAAGCATAAATATTTGAAATGGATAGCGGATCCCGGGAAGAGTGGCAGAGCAGGGGGAGTCAACTAATTAATTTCCAGACATACACAGACACCGCGCAGGGTGAGTAGAGCGAGAGGCTGCACCATTCCATATCCCCAGCTTCTTTCGTGGGTTTGTTCAAGGATTAAAAGTGAACATTTTACATGCTGTACTTAAGTGAAAGCTAACAAGGATTTGCTATTAGCGTGACAGCTATTCTAGAGAGACAGGGGGGTGAGCATTGTTGCATTGCAATAGGAAAAAGAGCAAAAGTCTGCTCCTGCTGCCACTCCATCAGGACCTGCTTCAGCTTGTGCTTTTGCTCTACAGCGAATTGTCGTAAAAATTTAATAGGACTTTTGTGCGATGCTTGAAAAAGTTACGCTCAGTGGGGGCGGAACAACAGTCGGAGGGGGAGGCGGATTGGTGGAAGACTCCTAGGGAAGCGGGCGCCACAAAATGCCATTAACTTAATGCGCATTTGGGGGCCCGGCCCGGTGCTGGGGCGACCTCAACCTCCAGCCTGTACCCAAGCGGAGAGCCCGACCTCAAAGGCTACGTCAACGTCAACCTTATCCTTGGCGAACAAAATATATAAAACTGGCAGACGTGTGCATAATTTCCTACTAGAATTATTCCCACAAATATTTCGCCGAAAAGCACATTTAATTTTCTTGTGTATGGCACAAAGAGCAAAGCTACGGCATTTTCAATGCATAAAAACTCTTTTCGAAATTGAAAAGCAATTCGAGTCATGCAGATCCGCTCTCCCCCACTCCCCCAGCTGGTATCATATATCCATTCAAGCAGAACCGATTCCGATCCCAGCCCCAGCCCCAATCGTGTCTCAAGTGCACGCCAAAAGTTTCAATAAAGATAATTCGACTCATGAAATAAATATCAAGTATGTACACTTGTAGGTATTACTCTTACAAACATACACATAAATATGTACAGGAGTAGGAGGTGGTGTGGGGCACCTTAGGAGCAGCAGCAGCCGTAACAACAACCTCTAGAACAATCAAACAAATTGCCAGCAACAACAGCAGCAGCAGCAGCAGAAGAAACAACAGCAGAAACAGAAACAATAGGGGGCCAAGCAGTGAGAGGACGGCTACACTGAGAGAAACCAGCGATAAAAGTTTCCGTGCCATAAGAGAGACCGTAAAATATTAGTGGATATTATTGGGATTAAATTGGATTGGAAGATTTCAGTATTCTCAGATTGAAGAGTGGATTGGAACACTTTACTGTAGAATAGTGAATATTTGCTCGCAGTGTAGCGACCAGGGAGCGAATGGAACGTAACATGAAACAAAAGCAAAACAAATATCAACATAAATGAGGTAAAAATGCCTGAGAACGGAGTGTGGTGTATGTGTGGGGAGCCGGGGGAGCAAACGCCGAAATGCCTGCCGTGTCTCAGGCCTGCTCATGGGGCTCGTTCCTTTCGTCTCGTTCTGCTCCTTCCTGTTTCTGCTTTAGGATGATGCTGCTGCTGCTGCCTCTATATATACACACACACTTGTACATATGTATGTATATCTGCCTATCTGTCGTGTTTGTCTGTTAGTCTGTCTGTCTGACGGCCGCGCATTTGTTTGCTTTGCTAATTTAACAGCAAGTCCCTCATATGAGCCTGAGCATGTCCCAGATTCTATTCTTTCCCACTCCTTGTGGCAGTTATGGTAGCATCAATAACCAATGATAAACATTTGCCTTTTCCTTTCTTTTTTTGTGTCTTCTTTTGGGCACACGCTCTCTCTCTCTCTCTCTCTCTCTCTCTCTCTCTCTCTCGACAACTGTTGCCAGTGACAGCTTTCATCAACGCGTTTTCTTGTATAACATATGTACATACACATGTACATATGCATATGCATTTGGGCATGTTCTGGTGCCTGTGTTTAGACATATCTTTGGCAGAAATTTGCAATTAGAGTTGTCAGATTATAGCCAATGCCATGCTGTCACAGGCAGATGTGTCCTTTGTTCGGAACACAACGACCCCTGACCAGGGGAATCGATTAGAGCTCAAACGACATCACCTCTGATGGGTAAGTGGGTATACGGTTACGAGAACGAGAACGAAAGCGAGAACGAGAACGAGGTCAAGGAGTAGTATGTATGTACAAAGTCTTAGGATTAGGGTCAATAAGGGTACCTATGCCCTGGTACATACCCATCAAAGGAGTTGACTGCCATCGAAAGAGCAACCACAACCAATTTAAGAGGAAATTTATTTAATTAATTATTTACCCGAACGGAACGAACCCTTGGGTTAAGAGTTTAGGTTCGCTTTAATCTGCAGAGCTTTAGCTTTTATCTTTTGATATGCTAAGTACACAGTTCCTGTAAATAATTTTCACATATTTATGTTATTTATTGCGCATTTCTGTTTATGGATTTTCTTCTTAGCATTTGACTCTGTCCTTGACCAACATTTTTGCTACAATTTGCCTTCCAATCCAAAAAGGTTCTCTCCGGTTATTTTTCTGCATATTTTTTTGTATTTTCCTAATTTTTTCTACTTTTTTCCCACACATTTCCCTTAATTTCTCTCTCTTTCTTTGCCACATTTTCCATTTAATCAAATAAAGAAAAGTTGATTAAATTTATCCAGACACACAACGAATTTTGAGCTTTTTTTTCAGCCACCTTTACAATTTTATTGTTGTTGTTTTATATTATTTTTATTTATTTTGCTGGTGGTTCTACTTGAGCTGCTTTCGGTTCCCAAGCTGCCATCCCATCCCATCCCATCCTCTTCTCTGTTCTCCCTGTGTGCTGTTGCCTGCTCTTTGTTCTAATTTAACCTAATTTCTGCTTTGTTGCGCTTTTATAATAACAGTTTCCAAAAAATTGCTCGTGGTTCTTGTCTGTGTCTTATGGGAAAGTTCCAGGAACAGGTTTCGATGTTCGTGTCCGTCCTGCTCACCTCCAACGATTCCCCGTCTGTCTGTCAGTCGGTGGGAAGCAGATAATGTTGGCAAACATCGCAAGCCGAAGCTATTGATACACTTCATTCATTATTCATTATTTTAAAGGCAGATCAATAAAGTGCAATCGAGCTCTAGCTTGTGTTCTAGCTTTATATAAATCGGAACGTAATATTCCTCATAGGTGCTGCGTGGTTGTCTCAAGCATTTCTTCTTAATCAAAGAACCCTTTGCTGTGCATTAGTGTAATTTCGTCATAATGGAAAGGATCAAATCAACAGAGAATGAAAGGGAGTGGGCACAAAAGGAAGCCAGGCAGCAAGGGAGAGAACTGATTATCGAGACACTTGAGAGCATCTGCCGCTCCTGCTAGCCCTCCTCTCTCTCTCTCTCTCTCTCTTTCAGCTGTCTGACTCTTTTTTTTTTGCTACTCCCTGTCCCTCTCCCACTCCATCGGTTGACTCTGCCAAAAGTTGGTAAGACAAAAGGCGGCAACGACAAGAGTCCGTCCCTCAGAAGCCAGTTTCTGAAGCAGCTGGCCGCTGGACCACTTGCCACTGACCAGCAGGAGGGGAGAGAACCTTCGACTCTGTGTTCCCCCTCTGTGTTGCTCCCTGCCCATCCCCATTGAAGGCGATTAAAAGGTGATTTCCTGCTTTTTGTTTTGCAATTTTCAGCAATTTCGTTATATATTTTTGGCAAAGAGCACCCCTGCTCCCATCCCATTAATAATATGGACACACACACACACATGCACACACATAACATTAACACACACACACACACACACACACTTAGATGGAGGCCTCATTGATGCTTGCGTGTGCGTTGAAGGTCCGGCGAAAGCCGCTTAAGCTGCCTGGCTGAACATTTAATCCCCCATTTGATATACCCCGTGCACGAGGAGATCCAGGGTATATGGGCTTATGAAACGATGTGAAAGGATAGACGAATATGACTTGCCGTGCCTTCTTTTGTACCAGACGATCATCCTTCATCAATTTATCTAGGGTTCTTGCTAGCTTCGGATCCAGTTTCCATTGGATATGGATTATTTTCATTGGAGTTAACGTTTGGGAGTGCACCAAAAGTATTCCATTTTGTTGTTTCCTTATTATTTAGCTTACAAATTCTATTTCGCCTTTCATTCACGGGTAATTGCTTTGGCTCAATGAAATTTCTTGGCTTTTGTGTGTGGCGGACACAAAGCAAGACAAAGTATTCGTCTAAGCAAACAAATTTCGTTCAAGCTAAACTTCAAAGTGGGGCAGGCTAAGAGCAAGGGAATGGTTGGGGCCAGCACCAGCAACAGCAGCAGCAGCAGCGATGGCTACAGAACAGGTGGTGGCAGATAAACCAGTTTTAAGCTTGCCCCCCCAAGGGAAAAGGGCCCCACTGACATATTTTGCTGACGGTCGTTTGACGCAGCGGCATCCTCATATTGGGGCAGACCGACGCGCATAATCCTTTTAATGAAGCAACTTGGGGAGCTTGTTGCCCCGTTGCCCCGCAACCGGTGCACACCAACAGCAACAGCAACAGCAGCCGTGCAGCCCTGCTTTTCGGTTGCCTCTTTACCTGTTAGCAGCTGCTTTTGTTTTTTGCCATTATTGTTGCCTCCTTCACTGTCCGGTCTGTGGGCGATGCTACTGCTGCTCCTGATGTTGCCCCTTTGTTGACATTAATTATAATTAACAAGGTGCAAGGAAATCGACTGTTTGAAAACTCCAGCTTCATGGAGCCTAGATTTTCAGTTGCAACGAATCCCCCCATATAGCGATCCCAACTGAAAGATCTTCAATTTCAGTCATCTCTTCAAATGATTCACATGGCCAATAAGGGCTTCATTGGCTTAGAGGGGCCGCTGAGTGCCACGCATTAAATATTAAATACGACTTCATACGTCCTGCGTATGAGTAATTTGGGCAACGCATGTGGCACTGCCACACTGCCACAGCCAGGCCATTAAAACAAGAGGCAGAGGGCTGGGCCTCGGCTCTCGACCCGTCTCAACGCGACTCGTTAGCACATCGTGCCGCATGATGATGGGACACGCCACAGGCCACCCGCTGCACCCCATCCGAGCTGGCTTCGAGTATAAAATAAGGCATAAAACGGCCAGATAATGCCCCACCAGGTTGGTGGCTGCTTTATGGGGCCCGCACTTAAAGCGAGGCCCTAAACCAGGGTCCTCCACCTGGACGGGCCCTGCGTGCTTATCTGATCATTAGCATAAAGTGTACACCCACCTCCTGGCTGCTGGTGCTGCTGCTGCTGCTACTCTCCTCCTCGATGCTGGCTGAGTTCGGCTGGGGGTTTAACTTCTGGTGGCGGGAAAGGGCGTGCTGGTAGTCCTCTTCCTGCTGGAGCATCTCCTCGCGCAGCTCTTGGACGAGCACCTCCGTCTGTTGCTGTCGCTCGTGCTGGGCGGCCAGCTCTAGCTTGATCTGCTGGAAATCGTTGCGGATGGTGGCCAGATCCTCGTAGCCGGCGCTGCGCTGCTGCACGTCCTTGGCCACGTTGCCGGCAGTATGCTGCAGCTCTGCCAGCTGCTTGCGTATCTCGGATATGGCCTGCTGCAGCCACTCGACGGTGAGGCGCTCCTTGTTGCTGCCCTGGGAGCCGCGCAGGCTAGCCACCTCTTCTCTGTGGAGTGCACAAAATCGAAAATCAAGTATTAAAAGTAGTTTAATTAGCAGCGTAGGGAGCGGCAGGAGCAGGATGCCTGTGCGTAACATTATAATTGCGGCTCTGTCTGGCCCCACACCCGGGAATCTAATTTAAATTGACAATTTCAAGCGGACAGGCGACCTAATTGCCTGTGGTCCGCTAATGGGATTTTAGCCGCCATAGAATGAAGCTCCACCGCCCCGCTAAAACCACTCCGAACTCCCCCCGATCATTGCGCATTTTCTATTTTCAATTTTCGGAATAAATCCAGTCATAGCCAGACGGCGCCCGACATCCGTTGCAAATGGAAATCACAGAAGTCATATAACAGAAAAAATTGCTAGCAAACACAAAACAAAACAAAACAAAACAAACTTTAACCAAAAATCCAAAACACGAGATGAGAGTGGCAGCCACAAACAGCAGCAATTTGGTGGGTAAAACGATGTTTAAATGTTGAAAGCGAAAATGTTGTAGCACTTGTGGCAGCTATTGGCAAAGAAAGAAGAGCTTGAGCGCATTTTTGTGGCATTTCAGACAATTAAAGAAGTCAGCTGGAAGGAAGCGGAAGTGGAAGTGGAGGCAGAAGCAGAAGCAGCAGCAGCACCAGGAGTCGCCACAAAACAAGGGAGCGGCAGGAACAGAACAATTCTAGAGTGTAGGTAAAAAGTTTTGTTTTTGGTGGCTTTGCTGCAGCTGCCTTTCCGGCCTGTTCTGTCTTTCCCGCTGCTATTGCTCCTTCTCCTTTTCCTGTTCCTGGTTTCCTCTGTCAAAGGAGCAAACCACATGAAATTTTCATCAAGAAAGTCACGACACAAAAAGAAAATTTGGGTAGCACTGCTCTTCGCTTCTTTTCTCTGGCTTGTGCATACATTAAATGTGGTTCAGTTTTTATTTCCGCCTGCGTATACGCAATATTTAAAATTGTTTCCAAGCGTGTGTGTGTGTGTGACTTTTTTTTGTTGTTATTTTTATAACTTTGAAAACTTTTGCTGCCCATGTGGTAAAAGTTCTGCTGCCACCGCTGTTGCTGCTGGCGACGCTTTGACAATACAATTTTTATCATAATTATTTAAATATTTAATTAAAAAAGCGGGGGAGGGCTGTTGCTGAGCATAGTCGAGTATTGGGTGTCCGAAAGTTTTTTAGGAGTTTTCCAATGGATTTCCCAATGTTTATCAAAGTAAACCAGAAAAAAAGAATTGCTTTTTAGTCCTCTCAGTATTTGAAAACAAAGGATGGAAGGGTGGAGGGGCGGAAGCACCCTTACAACTGGAAACTGTTGTAATGTCAAACAAATTGGAACATGAATTGGGTTTTTCGGTTGACTGCCACACGGATTTTCCATCAGCCATGAGACGATGTAGAAAAAAACACAGCCAAACAGGGCACGCCATTCAGGTGAAAATTGAAAATGCTGTCAACGACAAGCGAGAAAATTGAAAACGCAACATGCACTGCTTGGCTGACTGCAGCTGCAGTTGGGAATGATTTGACGATGGCTGATGGTATCGACCGCCACATCCACAGCCACACTGGATTTCGCATCAGCGAAATTACTGGTCACAATTTAATTACCAAAATTGGGGGCCCAACTCCGCTGCAGGTCTCCAATCGGGCAACTGCGAAAGCTATCAAATGTAACCAAATCTACTCCTCAGAAGAGCACAGGACAGGGCACAGGGCGCACAGCATAAAGGACGCACCACACAGTCTCATCAGATAATGATGTGGGGCTGTGGCACTGGACAACAGCTACTGGGAACTGGCTTAGTGTGTGGCCAGTGTATCACATAAACCACAGTTGACATGACGTTTGACTGGCGGTTGTCCAGGGAGCTCCTTCCCTGCCTCTACGTGGCACATACGAGTGCGTTCCGTGTGTGTGCGCGTGTCCTGAATTATTTACGGTGTCACTGACAAAGTTTACGATGTCCACGACAGCAACAACCACGGACTAACCTTGGCTATTTGTACAGTAAATTAAGAGTGTGCCATCTTTCGTATTTTTTACTCCGGATACGGACACGGATACGGTACGGCCAAGGGAACAGAGGCAGCCCAAGGAGAGATGGGGCACTGATGTATGTGTGTTCTGCTCGATGAGACAATCATTATTAGTCAGCCTCAGTCCCCGGACAACAAAACAAATCACGAATACTACGCAAACTTGGGCAGGGCAGGGCAGCGCTGACCTGGGCTGGGCTGGGCTCATGGACAGAGGAATGGACTCCTGGCTCGTTGTGGCTCAGCTCTGATTAGATTTCTCAGCTCCTTCCTCCCTGCCAAGATTTGTTTGCATTAGAAGGAGACATTCCTGGCATTCCTTTCGCATTTTGCACACAAAAACTTGGGCAACTGGAAAAATTTTAAGTCAGCGTAACGTGAAAACTGTTGCCTACTTTGGAGGGTACTAATTTCCCAACTAGACTAGGTAAAAGTTGCACGACAAAGTTATACGTGACTCGGGGCAAGTTTGTTTAGAGTTCTCCCTGTGGGGCCACAAATTAACGGCAAATACATTGAGCAACTGCACGGACTACTAATTAAAAATTCAAATGCAACTCGGAGTTATCCTGATTAATGGCTTGGCTAGACATAATGATATTGTATGTACCTGAGTTTGTTCAGTTCAGTCCGCATATCGGCATCAGCGCTGGCCGCATCCGTTGTGAGCCTTAGGGACTTGCGTAGATTGTGCTCGAGCATCTCGTAATCCTCGCGGCGGCGCATTATCAGGGCATTCAGCTGCTTGGAGAGCAGGCGCACCTGATCGTCCAGCTTGAAGGAGGCGGTGGTGTGCTGGGCAGTCTGGGGCAGGGTCTGTCCGCTCGAGAGCATTTCCAGGGAGCTGAGGCTCTCGTCCTCGCTTTCTACGCCCTCCTCGGCATCCTCCACAAAGCGCAGCAGTTCCACACTGGAGGGCACTGTCTGCTCCTTCCTGTCCTTTGCTTTCTGCGGGTTCTCCGAAGTGGTACGGGCGGCATCACGCAACATGTTGTTCACATCGCTGAGCACCACGCCGGCAGTGGCAGCTGCAACAACGGGACGGCTCAATGCCGCCGCCAATAGAATTAGCCGCAAAATGTTGGTGGCAGGCATTGTTGCAGGGGCAATTTAAATGCTTATTTATGCGAAACTTTCTCTTGCTTTTTTCCTGGTTTCTGAAATGTCTGGCAATTTCTCATTCACACCGCGGAAAAAAACTCGAAGTCAGACGTGGAATTTATGCAAATGGCTCTCACGCATGCCGACACAAACGACTTTCGGTTGGGGTAGGAGGGTAGAAGGCGATGGGGGAAGGGCGTGAAAGTTAAACACCCTATAAAGGCGCTGGCAAACAATGTTACAATTATTTCTGCCGCCAAACACCGCACTTGTTTCCTTCTGTTTCCCTCTTTTTCGCTCTGCTGTGCACTGTTTGGCCACCCGAATCGAGGCACAACGAAGTCCACTAAAAACCAAATAAATGTACTCTTCACTCGCTTCACTCTTAATACGTTTGGTTTATGGTATGTGGAGTCGATTAGCTCCAAGGCAAACGAACTAGTCAGCGCGGCGGTCGTCGAAGGACTTGAACGCCGCGTCGTTGGATCTTCCTTTTATACGCGGCTGGTTCGTGCCCGAAGCCAGGCTTCGGCTGGTGTGCTAAGAGAGCCGCACACGAGAGAGAAGCTATGGCTGAAGAGCATGCAACAAGCAGCAGCAGCAGCAGCCGTTCGTTTCGTGCCAAGGTGTATTTAATCAAGGGCTGGCCTTTGCAGAGAGCTCTCATCGCAGCTCATTGACAATGGGCGATTGGAAGAGCGGAAATACACCTTTTAGGCTTGCGTTCCTGGGCAAGCGTGGGCGAAAAGAGCCAGCTGCTGGCACACTTAAGAGAGCGAGCCCAACAAAACAAAAAGAGCAAAGCAATCCAACTGCGAAATAAAGGCTAGAGCTCGCCTCCTCAACTCTATGAAGATCTGTAGAGTATGTTTCGTTCCGAATTTAGCTTGAAGACTTTCCTTCAGTCAGAGACCCAGCGAAAGTAAGCAAAAATGGCGTATGCATATGGTCGTGACTGGTCGTCCTGCTGCTGCTGCTGCTGCTCCTGCTTCTGACACATGGCGCGCTTGCGGTGAATCAACATTCAGACAGGACAACAACTCCAGCCGCAGCAACGAACGGCAGATGTTAGGCCACGGCTGCTGCCCTATAGGCAGACGTAAAAGTGCGAAAACATGTTGAAGTGCTGCGTTGGAGTACGAGGGGGACACAGGGGAAGCAGGAATGCTCTGGCTGGAAATACAATGTGAAATGATGCCAAGTTGTGGCTGGAATGGAATTAAGATTTGCTTGGATGGAGGAAGAACATTTAGAACAGAGCATCCTGGATGTGTCTATGGTTCCTCTACCTGAATCTAGTTTTCTCTGTTGGTGCTGTTAAAGAATCTACTTATACTTTAGAAGTTTTTTCATTGCAACCCCGGAATCGAAAGGTATCTCAATAATCCTCTATTAATTTCCATCCCACAACTTTTTCTTCAGTTTGGACAGGGAACACTTCGGATATGCCCCAGGTTATCTTTCATTCTTTCTGTTTTTTTTTTTTTTAGTTTTCAGAATGCATTTCTATCCTCGCAAGGATTATTTGATGGCCAGATGTTCCCTTTTCGTAGCCAATAGTCTAATATTTTGTAGCCGTAAAAGCCGGAAAAGCTTTAAAGAGGAAAATGGGAGTGCAGCTGAAGTCATTCGAAAAAAACACCAAAATGATAGGCCCGTGGCTGCAGAATTTTGGTTGCAATGGAGCTGTATTGGAGTGGAATGTGGAGTGGAATGTGGAGTTTGGAGTTTGGATTGTTGCAAAAACTATGACAGAAATGGCGCCTTACGCACTGTAAAAACGTTGCAGGCTATGCATTCTTTTAATGCTCGTACCTATGCATAAATGTTGCAGGAATTGTGGTGTGGTGTGGTGTGGGGTGGGGTCAGATGAATGGAATCCGCGCATCGCTGAGCACAGATAGGAGTCGACTGGCCATTGTTGCCACTTGCATGAGCTGCAATGCAATTTGCAATATTTTTTCGTTTTCGTTTTTACTTTTTAATGTACTTGTATGGGTCATGGAATAGGGTAGAGTAGGGTTATGGGGTACGTGCTCTTAGAGAATACAAACCCCTTTTTGTGGTGGCCATCATCAATGGATGCATAATCAACCGCTGGCCACATGGCTATATGGCTATCTGGCTATCTGGCTATCTGGTTTCCCCCCTTCGTGTACTGCGGAGTTGTTTGTACATATATTTTGAGTGGACCCAGTTTAGTTTTTAATTTGATGCCTTTGTTTACTGTCATTCTGTTCTAGCTTGTTGCACACTGCCGCTGGCAAAGGGCAAGTTGCAACAGGGTGGTTCACCTGGGAGTGGTGGTTGCGCGCCATTTGCATGGCTCCCTCCCCTCGTTGGCCATTCCCCTACCCCTTTCACATTTGTTTCATTGTCGCCCGTTAGTGCTGGCTCTTATGCTCTCATTCCCTACAGCTCTCGCCTGTCTGGGAATGGCTCGCTTTATGGTCAGCACATTAAGGTAATGGCCTGGAAAGTCAGACTGGTCAGTTGGCGTCCCCAGTCGCGTCCCTAGAATGGAGTTCAAATTTCGTTTGTATTCATATTCAACGGGAGACTCAATGCAACCTCATCCCAATGGCATGGCACAGGGCACATTTTATGCCTGTTCCACAATCAATGCCGACTCAATGTCGAAGCGACAGTGGGGACAGCAGGTGTCTGTGGCCGCTGACCAATCCATTCCATTCCACTTCACTTTTCTTTCGCTCTCTGATGATGAGGGCTCATCAGGCGGCCCAGAGGCATTGTCAGTCAAGCTGCACACACGAGCCGAGCTGAGCTGAGGACAGGTTCCGGTTCTGTGGCATGCAAGCAAAACTCAAAATCGAGCACGCGATATTACTTAGTCCAGCGACAGTTTTGTTAAACCAAAAATATATGTATGTGTGCACTGAGAAAAACTTTTGTTGAAATCAAAGAGTTTTAATCTGGTTTTAATCTGTTATCTTAACCCCATCCTTACCTCTCTAAGTGGGTCGCACTACCGTAATGGATGTAGTTTTAGTTATAGATCAATTTGTGTGGTTTTTTTTCTGTCAGTGCACCAAAAAAAAAACACACGCACAGAAATTCGTGCATGTCTCGCATAAAGGAGTCTCGAGAACGCTGCGCAGGCGCAGTTCCAGGCTGCGCACTAATCATCTGGCTGACAACTGCAACAACAACAGCATCAGTCTTAAGGCAAGCAACAGCTGAGGATGAGGCAAAGGCAAACCGGCTGCCGCTGCCGCTGCTGCTGCTGCTGCTGCTGCTGCTGCTGTCGCTGACGGCAGCAGACTAACGGCAGGTGCAAAACGTTTACCACTCGAACGAAAATTTCCTACCTGATTTAATCTGCTGTTGTTGCCGCTTCTCGCCTTGCCTTAGTCTTCTCCTTGGCTTCTTCTTGTTCATCCTTTGCGTTCATTTTACTGTTCCAGGCTGTTGCTGTTCCTTGCATTTGCTGTTGTGGCTGTTGTCTGCGTTGGCAGGGCTTCGTTACGTGCTGTTTCAACTAGCACTCGGGGCATAGCGTGGCTTGTTGCTCCATGCTCCACTGATCACACACATTCACTCACACACACACACGCACACAAGCATCAGAACAAGCACGGACACGTTGCCATCACTCAAGGCTGTTGCTGTTGATGCATTGCACGGCTGCCTTCACTTTACGCCGTTTCTCTCCCACTTTGGCTTCTCTTTACGCTTGCGTTTGACTTTACCCAACAGCAACAAACAAAATAGCGAAGAGCGGCATAGATGGAATTCCAACTCTAACTGTACGCCCTAGCTTAGCACTGCATGCGGGTACATTTAGAGCCAGTCGTCTTTCACTCCATGCGGTATACTCTTTTAGTTAAGGAGTACGGGGTACAAGAACGCAGCAGAGGCAGGAGAAGCGCAGTCTGTGGTCTCTTTGGTTTTACTTTCTGCGCTCTTTTTTTGCGAGGAGAGAGAAAGGGATAGCGACATGCAGCGGACACGCATCGACGTGCAATAAAAACAATCCCCTAGGAGCAGTCATCGAACAGTGGGAGGGGAGCTAATGCTGACCAACAAAACAACACAAAAAAACCATTGAAGTAAAAACAGAAGAAGGAGGAGTACAATTGGAAGAAGCGACATCTGCAACGACAACCGTGTACATCTGCATCCCACAAGCAGAGCAGCAGAGCAGAGCAGTGCAGCGCGTTACGGAACGAAACGGAACGAAACGGGATAGACAGAGCGTCAGGCAAGCATGTTTTGTGTCGTCGCAGCTGTCTTTCCCCCCTCCTAACCAACACTCTTGTGACGATTCAACAGATTTTCGGTTTTCGGATTGCGTATCTCAGCCGGTGCAGCATCTACTGCTGCTTTGCAATGCTTTCAAATTGGTTAATAGACAGGCCGAAGGACAGCAGAGCGCTCAGCACGAGACTGTGCCGTGCCGTGCCTTGCCCTTCTCCTCTCCACCACCTACGGCAGGACAAACAATGTAGGAGGCATATGAGTGAGTGTGCGTGGTACCATATAAGGTGTCAGAACGTGCAGCTGTCAATTCCTGCACCCCTCAAGGTTTCGGTTCTCCTACTCATTTGGAGCTACGACAGACACTAATATCGAATTCTGAGGTGTGTCAGATTTGTAAATGATGGCGCGCTCAAAGGCAGCCAGGGCTCAGTCCATTCGGGCAGGGCCTAGTTTTGTCTATAGTTCAGAGGTAGAGCTTGCAGTCAAATAGGAACAATGGAATTTATTTAAACTTTTCCAGTAGCCTGCTGTATTTATTGTATTTTATTTTTTCACCGAATAGATACCATGATAAGTCTCACAAAATTCGTAATATATTTATAGAGAGAAAATCCCATTACTTATATTCGCTATGCGTTCCCTTTGTTGTCGCCGATAATTTAAAGATTTTACTGCATATTTCAAATTTATTTTAGCATTTTTTGTTAAAGCGTTTCACATTTCCCCTGTGCATTCTTAAAGGTACGGGACCTTCATCTATAACCTTCAATTAGAGTCAAATCGGGTCCAGTGATACAGCGTTTAAAGCCTCCAGCTATTCTGGTTCACATTCTGTAACAACAGAAGCAGCGAGGGGCTCATTGAGGGTAAAGGGAGGTCAGATTCCGGGCATTTAAGCAATTAGCACTTTTACAGCTCTTTCCATTTAAATCACGAACCTCGCTGCTACATCTGCCGTCAGCCGAAAACGAAAAACATTTCGAAAGAGTTAATAACAAGCTGTAAACAATGCCAAGTCCCTCGGCCCCCCAGCGCACCACTTCAAAATCCCTGCAATCGTCGTCGAAATATTGAAAAAAAGAGGAAAGAAAAACAAACAAAAATCGTCCCTGTTGCTGCTCCTGATGCTGTGTGCAATGCACAGATGTCGCTCAGATTACGAACTTAATTGCCCCAGTGCAGGATATGAAAGCCCCAGCGCCAGCGCCAACCCCAACCCCAACACCAGTCCACGTCCCAATCCCAGTCCCGTTCCCGTTC